CTTGCTTTTTGCTTTGCTTTCTTTGCATTTCTGATGGGTCTTACATGCTTCGCTTGCTTTTCTCCCCCCCTTCAGCCGGAAGGGATTAATTCCATTTCTGATGAGTCTTGCAGTGATTTTTTTTGTTTTTGTTTTCCCAGTTGGAACAGATTAATTGCATTTCAGTGCATTCCTGTGGGAAATGGTGCTTTGACTTACAAATGTTTCGAGTTCCGGAACCAATTACATTCGTAAGTCGAGGCACCACTGTAATTTTAAAAAATGCAACAATATAATCAAGAGACAGAAGTCAGAGGGTGTGTTTTACAGTTGGCTTGCTACTATAATATTGAAACAAATATGCTTGGCAGTTGTTGATTGTGATACTATACTAGATATCTGGATATTTTGTATTCTGCAATAGTGAATTACTCAATAATTGCAGTATGATGAATTCACACTGCTACCTCGGAATCTTGGATATAAACCTGCAATGACAAAAACTAATTGTATAACTTATTTTAAAACAACTTCCTTTGATAAGAGGATCTTCAATTCAGAAGAATGTCTTCAATTTTCCATTTTAGTTTTTTGGAAGTCTTCAATCTACCTTATTTTCTTCTGGGTTTCACACTGTTACTTAACATTATGCTGCCCTTCTGAAGTGTTCAAGGTGTGTATGTATTCATTAACCCACCCATTCTACTTACATAAACTGCTTCTTCAAAAGGAAGTGACTTTCAGGAATCTTGCTCAAGTTTAAACAAGACAAGTATCTCGTACTGTCCTCACCTCCCTTATACCAATTTAAACAAATCTACATATTGTATGCTATTTTAAGAGGCCTTCCCAAAACAAGTTTTAATCCAATGCTTTCCTAAAAACAATGCAATTCAGAAATAATATACAGTGCTGCTGCTTACAATTATTTTGATATTTGTATGAAAGCAGTAAATGAATGCCAGAATCAGGAGCTCCCTTTCTCTCTCTATGGAGTTTCCTTCTTACAGGTATTTACCTTTCACTTGCCCTTAGCCATAAGGAAAGGTATCAAATGATCCTCAACTGCCTGACAGCATTTGTTACCACTGCCTGAAAAGAAGTACCATGGGTACTGCTTTTGTGTGAGATGTCTTTGAGGCTATGCACGACTATTTATGTTAATCTGCTGAGCACATTAATAATGCTCAGAGACCAACTATATTGATATGGGCAAAATGTGGCCCCCACAGCACCCCAAGTAGGTGGGAAGATAGAAGGCAGATAAATATTAATGCTACAGTTTCTAGATCCCTGGGACTCTGTAAGTATGGTTATCCTCTGGTTTTAAATGCTGTTGCAATTCATCTATCTCCTGTGGCAACTACTGAAGCACCAAGAGGCTCGTCCCACAAAGTAACAACATATTATGGAAGAGGTGTTAATTTTACCTTGGACCAACCCCAGAAGCACAGACAATAGCCCTGTCTATTTAGCACCAGGAGTAGATAGACAGGGCTACTGTACAGAGAAGGAAAATAACAGATTCTTGTATAAGTTGTTGTATCTGCATGAAAGCAACGTTTTTATTAATATTATCCCAAGATGTAGAGCATTAAGTTTCTGAATTTTACCAGAAAAAAGTTTATATTAGGCATTAGGCTAATTGCACTGAGCACTTATTGTAGATCTAATGATTTAGCTATTAAATTATACCTTTTGTTCACAATGGATCTAATTAATCATGTCTGCATTCAGTTTTAGGTCTCTGAGAATAATTCTGAATATGAATGGAGCTATTACTAAAAAGGCACGTGTCTCAAAATCTTGCTACTACTGAACTGAAATGCATGAATTGTTCAGAGATCTACAGAAGAAATGTAAGAGACTATGACAAAACACTCAATACTAGTAATATTTCTCTGCAACATTTTCAATTGTTCTCACTCATTACCTAACGGTAAACCTTGCAATCATTATCTCCATACTGTAGATGAGGTTCTGTGACTGAGACAGCGCAGCTTACTTAAGACTATTCTAGAAAGCTCATGGGAAAGACAACAGAAGAGGGACTTCCTGACAGGTAATCCAGCTTCTTAGCGATGCTATACTATTACAGTACCTCAGTATGCTAAGTACAGGGCTCATTACCTCTTTAGTCCCCATTATAATTTTAAGCCAGTGTGATGCACTGCATTATAACTGGTTGAAGATGGAAAATCTGTATTCAGATACAACCACGAACCTCACTGTGTCCTTCAATCTCTAGGGACTGTTTCTCAACCCAATGTACTAATTTCATTTCCTTCTCTGAAGAAACCACAGCAAATTATTCAAATAGAGGTTTATGGCAAGTGAAGTGTCTGAGCTGAAAAACCAAGCTACATAGAGGAAAAAACTATTTCTACTTTCCTTGAACCCTGAAATTTATTCTGATGACAATAAATTAAGGAGCTGGAATTCTGTTGGTGCAGCTCCATGTGTAAGGTTAATAACATCATTATTCCCACAAGCTCACCCCACCCCCCAGGTTCTGAGACTCCCTAGGGATCAATTTTGTCATGGAGAAACCCCTTGGGATCTCAAGATTGGGAGAAGCCTTTAATGCCAAAAACACACAAACTAGGACTGAAGGTGGCATTTTTTTTACATTAAAGGCTCTCCCACCCAATACCTCCAAAGGATTTCCTGGGAGGAAAGGGATCCCTAGAGAACTGGAAAGGGAGTTAGAAGATTTTAAATAAAAGATAAAAGGCCTGACTGGTGAACAGAATTCAGGCCAGTGTTTATAAACTGAATGTTTTGATCTACAGTTCCCAGCATCCCTCAACAATGGCCATATTGGTTGTGCTTGTGGAACCTGAAGACCAAAACATCTGGCACAAGGTTTGGAAAGTTTACTACAGGATGCTATGGGGCCATATAAAACCATACTGCTTTAGAAAGCAAAACCTGTCAACTTCCATCAAGTCTAGCACTACTGCTGCTCTGGAAGTAAGAGCATATATCTACAAAGCTATATAGAATTAAAGAATAAACAAGTCTTGACACTTCATCCTGTACAACAGTATAGCCAAAATCTTTACCTATAAACCCACCAGATTCCTCCACAGCACCAGATGTATTATTTTATTAGTACTAGTAGTAGAGGATGAAAAAACACAAAATTAGCTATTATCTACTCAAGGCACTAGACAGCAAGCTATCTTTATTGAAAAATGACTTGTTTTTCTCCTCAAAGAGGAAGAAATTATTTTTACCCTATCTACTTCTTGTTTACTTTAAGAAAAAAACAGCAACACCTTTTGTTAACTCACTTGTGATTTAGGATTAGGAAAATGATCATGCAGACAGAATAACCCTACTATGGATATGTTTAAATTCAGGGT